AACATCTTTGTTAAACAATAATCAAAATTACAACATCCTTCATTACATATTAATTCTACAATGTAATGTAATGTAATTCTACATAGTAATGTCCACCTAATAATTATACTACAATGAGTATACAATATTTTTTTCCAAAAAGTTTTTTTTATTTTTTACATATCTCTTCACGTGAACAACGTAGTTCCAGATTACAACATTTATACATAATCATACTTACATTTCCATCTATCTTATATAGTATCACCTCATGTCATTATCCATGTCATTTATCTTTAAATAAATTCTCATTTCATATTTCAATTCATTAATTCAATATCAATATCATTTCATCCACACATATATTTTCAATTCTTTATCCCCTATTATTTCCATTTTCAGCTTACCACCTATTTTATTTTACGTTATACATCATTATCATCCTTAATTTTCTCTAGGCTGATATATAATGAACAATCTTTTTAGAGTAAAAATAAAATAAAACTAATATATTTAGGATCCACATGGTATCTCCCCTCAGTCTATATACCACTTAGCCAAAGTTTATCTATATATTTTAATAAGTTTCCATTCCCCTGTTTTTAAACATCAAAAATACTTTGTATTTCCATATGATCCCTTCTAGTTTATCATATTTTCTATTTTCTCATATCCTTTATATAATCAATTACATTTTCTATTTCATCTGTCCCAACAAAGAAAAAAAAACCAGAAAGCTAAATTTCCCTTTTGGTTTCCATAGCCTATACTTCACATTTTGACTTTCCCCAAATTTATCATATTCTCTGTTTTTCTAATATCATTTAAATAGTCAATTACATATTTTAGGATATGTATATATAAAAAGGAAAGGATTCATAACAGTAAAATTCATATACAATTATATATATATAGTTATATAATCTTAAAATATTTCCCAACAAGTTTTAAACTTCAAATTTCCCCTATCTATTATTTCTAGTAAAAAGAAGGGAAAAATACCAATATACATTCCCATGTGTTATCCCCCCTATACTATCCCTAACCCTTATCTCTCAATCTCACAGCCTTGTCTTTCCTTTTAATTTTAGCCAGCTTTCCCTTTTCTAGATTTCCTTGGTCTTTCTTCTTTTTTCCTTCTGATATTATTTTTTATTTCCCTCTGTCTATCAGCCATGTTTCCCCCCGCCCTTCTCTGTTCTCTTTTTGGGGGCTTCTTCTTGTAGACTTCCTTCTTCTTCTGCTTAGTCTTGGGAGTGTTTTCTCTTTTATTTGTTGCCTCTGTCATCAATATCTCTACTTTAAGTCCTTTTATGTCTTTTGACAATGGATCTTGTTCTCCATATTCGTCTGGGCTGCTCTCCTTCTCCTTTAACTCCTCCTCTCTGGGCTTCCTTTGTTCTTCTACTAGCTGCAACACCATTACTTTGCCAACAAATATATTCAATAATCTCATTCTTTCTTTTAACATTCCTCTACAGTTTGCAGTTCCGATTTAAATTCTTTGCTTATTTCTTCCATTTCTTGAATTATTCTTTATTTTATTAAAAGTCAAGTTTTTCTGTTATGTCCCTTGCCAAAAATCTCTGTTTATCTCAATTTCTCTTTCTTCTGTTTTCTTGTCACAATCAATACCAAACAGTCCCAAAATATTACATTCATTTATACTTTTCTGCAATCCTCACTTTTTGTGGGGTTTTTGTTATGCTAGTAATCTTTCATTTCATTTCTTTTCTGTTTCACATATTTATACGACCAGTATTTTTCCAGGAAAACATAAAAGAGGAAATAACTTTAACCATTAGATGGTGCTTTATATCACTTCCACTTTATAAAGTTCTTTTTTTATTCTCTTTTCCGTTGTTTTAGCATTAAATTTTGTCCATTCCAAGTAAATCCAGCATTTTATCCAATGCCTACTTAGTGCCCAATTCTGTAGATTATTCCAAATTTAGTCTCTGGTTTCATACAGTTCTTTTATTTCTGATTTTTTATTTACCTTATATTATACAATATTAACATAATAGTATTCCACATGTTAACCATTATATTAACTTATCTCTTTTCACATCTCATCTTTACTTTGTTTCCCTATTTCTAACTTCCATTTTTATTATTTAACCAATGATAGAATAAACCCCATACCATGTAATATTCAGTTTGCTCTTTCTCCTTAATTGCCAATGTTAATTTATTCATTTCCACACATTCTAGTATTTTCCTAATGAGATTCTCATCTGTAGGTATCTCTTCACTCTTCCAATTTTGTGCAAATACAATTCTGGCAGCAGTCAATATGTGAATAACTAAATATGCATTTTCCTTACTATATTCTTCGGGTAGGATCCCCAGTAAAAATATTTCTGGTTTTAAATCAATATGTTGTTTTATCATTTTTTCAAACCATGTATGTATTTCAGTCCAATATTTTTTTTGCTTTTGAACAGGTCCACCACATATGATATTATGACCCAGGTATCTGGTGGCACTTTCAACATTTAGCTGATTTATCTTTAAACATCCTTGCCAGAAGCGCTGGTGCAAAGTGCCAGCTATGAAACAACTTCTATAAATTTTCTTTATATGCAGTTGACATTGTTAATTTGTAATTCCTAATTTTTGCCATTTATCTAGTTCAATTATGTAACCAATTTTTTTTGCCCATACTATCATTGTTTCCTTTACTTGTTCCTCTTCCAGTTTGATGTGTAGTAAATAACTATACATTTCAAATCAGTTTTTCTTCTATCCCTGTTCATTTATAATTCTGTTAATTCTGTCCATATAGTTTTGCACCTTTCTCATATCTAGAATGTATCTGCAGTTGTGAATACTGTGTCAAATCAATCCCTTGATCGCTCAGTTCTTGTTTATTTTTAAGTTCCCCCTTCTCATTCAATATCTTTGTATATAACAATATTTTCTATATCAAGAACATTTGGGTGAACCAATGCTTCAATTGTCAAGATGCTTAATAACTTGTCAGCAGTAACTACAACAGTAGTAATACTGACAAAATGTTGATACAGCTAGACTAGACTTACAGAACTATTTCAATCATTGACCGATAAAAATACAATCAATAAAATGAACAACACAAAGCTATCTCCTAACAAGAAGAAGTATTAGTAACCAGTTGTGGGTGAAGCTTATGCGTAGTACAGCAACATTTTGCTTCTTTTGGAGAAATACATTTATCTTGCTTATTTAATAGATAGTACACATAAAAGCAATCAGAGTGGAAATTTAAATAAAAGAGATTTATTTACATTTTAGAACACTAACAGAGGAGCATGGGAAAATTTAGAAACAGAAGAATAAATGTCATAAAATTACATATAGAGGAAATAGGTCAGCTGGGAGGCAAAACAAACATTTTTGGCTGCCAAAACAAGGAGATAATATAATTACTTGAGGGCATTGTTGAGTATAATTACTCAAAGGGCATTGTTTGTTCCCTATAATCTAAAGAATTTGCTCAAGTGACCCCCCCCCCCAAAAAAAGGCAGCATAACAGGAAACTGGACAGGGAAGCTAAGTGGAGCAACATTAGTAAAGAAATTTGGACCTGTGGAAAGTTCACCCAAGTCCTGACATCTGAGAAATCCACCATACCTTGAAGAAGAGCCTTACATATGAGCAATTGTTTATATGCATCAATAGTGAAAATTATTAATAACATATTTAATTAGTATAGTTGCAAAATCTAGGTATCTTATGTTTGGGTTGTATCATTACTCACTCTAATATACTCATGATACAAGTTTAAACAAAATGTTAAAAAGTTGTAATTTACCAAGCACATCTAAATTACATTAAAGTAACAAATATCTTTACAATCCTCAAAGCATGTCAGAACTTTTGAGCACCCCCAATATTTGGAAATTGAAAGCTGAAAAATTTGACGTGCCCCAATTTGCAACACAAACGGCCATGCCTCTGTAGGAGAGGCAGAACTGTATATTAACTCTGGGCATAATTGTGCAAAACAGATTACAACAATCTATGCTTCCAACACAATAATTATTCATATATATGTTTAATAGGATGAAGTAAATAAAAAATGAATAAACAAGCGATTTTATAATTAAGAACATTTTAATGCTTAAAGCAATGTCTTTTATTGTTTTAATGGTTCTTACTGTTTTTATTGTTTTAAGTTTTTAATTGTAATATGTTTTTAAATTTTTAGCTGCATTTGCTGAGAAGGGTGGCTATAGAAATCAGTCAATCAAACAAACATATAATATGGAGTTATCAATCTTCTATGCACAATACTAAGAATGAACTGAATTTTAAAATTTTATCAGACGGCCAAATATATGGTGGCTGTAACTTCTCATAAACTACAAATGGCACTTATAATATTATGCCTTGAAATTTTAAACCATCTGTGAGACTCCATAGAAAGCCATCCATAAATAAGCCCCAATGAATTAGTGCAAGACCCATCCAGAGTTTCTTTTGTCAGTTTCCCCCCTCTCAAAATGTGTTTTTATACACAACTGTTGACGACTGAGCTCTTTTCTGAACTGTATTTTTATCATTTTGAAGAATAAAGTAACAAGGATGAAGAAAAGATACATGGACAATAATCTAATCAAGAAAAAAAGGCATGATCCTACTCCAATCAAAAAAGATTTAAATAAAGCCAGCATTTAACTTCAGATGTTTGGCTTGATAGTTTCAGACCTAACCAAATCCATCTCTGATAGATTTTGTCATCTATGTTCTCTGTCAAAGGCGCTTTTTGAGTTTCTGCCTATAAATAATTGGCCAGAGCCTCATGGTTTAGGGTTATATTGGCTGATCTTTTTATATAAAACTGGTCTCTATATAGCACCTAATTAAGCAGTCCCGTTTCTGGTTAAACCTCAGTCAAAGACCATCTCCATTAAAAAAAAAAAAAAAAAGCAAGCAAGAAATTCCTTTGAAAATAGATTTTTCCACTGCGCGCCACAAAATTAATAAATAAATAAATAAAAAAGAAAGACTTAAGACAAAATAAAAGTCCCGCCAACCTGTAAAAGTAGTGGACGAGGAAGAGTCCTAGCAGAAACCGGTTGGGCCAAAAGCTGAGACGGTTACCGCCGCTACACAGCCCGAGCATTCCAGGGAAAAGAAAGGCAGGCGCTTCTTGCACCATCCAGGCCAGGGTGGCAGGAACAGGGTAGCCGTAAGAGGCTGAAGCGTAGCGGCCGTATGGTGCCCCGGCCCGGCGGAGGACGAACACTACCGTCACAGATATAAAGCCCACCATGGCGTAGCTCATCTGTTTCAGCAACCTCTCCTCCTGCGGGCCGGAGACGCGTTGCCAGAAAGCTCCGGGACACAGCAAGGTACACGCGGCCGTCGCCGCCGACTCCATCACCCCGTGAAAGGAAGCGAAGGGAGGAGAGAAAGCGCTAACGCCGTCCGAGTTCAGCACCCCGGCCATTCTGGAAGACAAGATCGGCCGTCTGCACCCCTCTCTTTCCAGGCTGGGCTCACAAGACAGTCAGAAAACATTAGGCTCTGGGGCGATCCGCCTGGGGTGGTGTGGAGTGGGAGCGTCACGGAAAAGTCTGGCGCAAGGGGCGGAGCGAGACGAAGGTAACAACCCGAGGAAGGGTCAGCTCAGCCCGTGGGAGTTTTTGGTTTCGCATCGCTTCCCTTCGCTCCCCTTTCACGGTCGAGGAATTGCTTCGAGTTCTACCCGATCCACGGGAAAGCAAGACGCCAACACCTGGCATCCTTCCCCAACTCGCTGTTGCTGCTCAGGTTCTATAACAAGGGAAGTTCTGGGAGTTGAAGTCTACAAGCCGTGAAGCCATCAAGTTTGAAGAGCCCTGCTCTATAAGGAGGGAAGATTGAGCCTCTGGGGCTACCGAGAAGCAAACTTGGAACGGTTCTCTCGTTTGGCTTAAGATTCCGGTTCAGTTGTGCGATCGCTCACTGAACCCGCTCTTATCTCGTTTCTGCCTGTAGTAGGAAAGTAGTGTGAGTAGGATCCATCGAGGGAGAATCTTAGGGAAAGGGGATCCCTTTGAATCTGGTTCCTCTGTGCTTGCATTGCCCAAAGGAAGAGGATGAGGGAGCCAATAGTCTTGCAGAAAGAAAGAAAATGCTTAAACCTGGCATCCTTTGTACTCCTCCCTCGCTTAATATTGCATGAAGAACAAAATAACAAGAGGAGTAGACAAATTAGCTTGCTGTGGTTTCACCATTTCACCATTTCTCTTGTGCAAGAGAGACAGCAGTTTTGTACTTTCTGTTTGGCTCATCGCCAGTATGTAATGGACCACTGACTTGTCTTCCTTCAACAACCATGTTTTCCAGCTTTGATTCAAAACTGTTGCTTTCCAACCTGAGCTGGAAAATGTTTGACTCTTGAGTAACTGCCAGGAGAAATCCCTGCAGTATTCCTGGCAATGTTTTTGGAAGTGGGTTGCCTTTGCCTCTTTCATAGGGCTGAGCAAGAGTGACTCAAAGCCTGAAATCACCCCACTTGCTTTGTCTTTAAGGCAAGTACAGAGCTCATGGTTGCTAGCCTGATGCCAAACTGGGTCTACGCTTCATAGCACGTTGTGTTATTAACCTATAAAAGCCCACTTTCAATGAATACAACACTTGGACTTAGGCTTTCATAATGGATGTACCTTGAACCACACTTGCCCCCATCACAAGATAGGAGGGGTGTCTGAATGTATCCCTGTGTGTAAAAATCTGGGAAAGCAAAGAAAGGCAGAAAGAAGAGCGAACAGGGAACAATCCCTGACAGATAAAGGCAAACACTGCAGACAACCAGCAAGGCTTGCTTTCCCTACATGAATGGAAAAATTGAGAAGCAAGGGAATGACCAACCAGGTCTTGTCATGACCATAGTTAAAATAGTTAAGGCTAAACAATAGTATGATTCGTTGCCAACCTACTACAAGCCAGCCTGGAATTTTAGAAATTGGCTTGACCAACAGATGGAAGGAGAATGGAAGACTATTTAGAGTTGCCCTTAGTTCACTGCCCAGAAGTTGTATTCTGTATTCTCTTTCAGAAGAATTAAGGAGAGCAAATAAGATAAAGGGACTTCTTCCTTAGTCCAAAAGTAAAGAAGAAAGAGCAACTACATATGAGAAGCATTAAAACTTCACAAAATAGAGTATAATGTAAATCTTTTCAGAACAGAAAAACATTTTCTAATGTTACATGGACTCCCATAAAGGCCATGCCAAAGTATGATACAGACTACCCCATCCCAACTATCAAATCTGATTGTTTAAATATTTTACCTTAGCAATAATCATGGCAGAAGATTTATCTTCCAAGTACTGGATTTCTAGAAATTTGGAATAAATGACTACTAAATTTATCTTAGAAATGAAGAACGGTTGCAGGAACTGGGCTTGGTTAGTCTAGTAAAGAGAAGGACCAGGGGAGACATGATAGCAGTCTTTCAATATTTGAGGGGCTGCCACAGAGAGGAAGGATTCAAGCTATTTTCTAAAGCACCCAAAGGCCAGACAAGAAATAATGGATGGAAACTGAACAAGGAGAGATTTAACCTGGAAATAAGGACAAACTTTCTGACAGTGAGAACAATCAATCAATGGAACAGCTTGCCCTCAGAAGTTGTGGGAGCACCATCACTTGAGACGTTTAAGAAGAGGTTGGACTGCCATTTGTAAGAAATGGTGTAGGGTCTCCCGCTTGTGCGGGGGGTTGGCCTAGATGATCTATAAGGTCCCTTCCAACTCTGATTATCTGTTATCTGTTTCTGTTAAATATCTGCAGCTTTTTATGCAAAGTGTATTGGAAATGTCAAGAATGAAAATTTAGTTATTTGGCATTACTATGCTGAAGCAACTGTAACTATGGGAAATGTGCTATAAATTGTTTGATCTGCTTGTTCATCAGACTTCTAGTATATCAAACCCAAATATCTGAGTAATAAATTTGAGGGATAAATACCTGGAAGTTTTACATTAATTACATTTCTTTCCCACATCTAAAGAAACTTACTTCAAAACTGGATCATCTCTAGTACTTTATTGCAGGCTCTTTAATTGAAGTTCTGTTGTTGGTATAAACTACAAACTACAAACAACCTTTTCATATGATGGTACATTCCATTTCCTAGTCATTCCAGTAGCAATGTTCCTAAAAGAAATATAATGCATAAGCAATAGAACTAGTCTTAATTGTATATTTAATTTTTGTATGCTGACATGTATCAAGCATACTGATTAATAATAGTGCCTCTATTATGTAATATCATTTCAATACATTAAATCCATGCCATATTTTGGCAAATAATGATGAAAAATGTTTCATAATTATTACAATCTCATTCACGTATTTATTCTTTGTGTCTTCTACATCCTTCAGATCAGAGGTGGTATTCAGAAGGTTGTGACCAGTTCTAGAGAACTGGTAGCGGAAATTTTGAGTAGTTCAGAGAGCCGGCAAGCCTCCCGAGTCCCAGCTGATGGGCTGGGTCTTCTTTTGTTGCCCTGCACAGAACGGAGGGAAAGCAGGTTAGTAATGGAGATTTTACAGTATCCTTCCCCTGCCACACCCACGGAGTAAACTAGTAAATAGGAAATTTTTTTGAATCCCACCACTGCTTCAGATAAATTGAAGGATGTCATGCTAAAGAAAGTTTTGTATCATCCCAAAGTTCAGGAAACAAAACCATGTTTTTAAGTTACAAGACACCTAAAAATACCCCTAAAAGTATAGCAAAAACCCTTCTAACAAAAATGTGGCAATGGAATATATTACTCCGAAGGAATATATTCATTACATTGAGGATGTTTTAATTTGTATTCCTTCACAAAGCCCGCGGTTCGCTTGGTCTATAACAGTAGGACATTATTAATTCAATCTCGTCATGCAGGACAAACGATGTGAACATCCTATATCCTATGGACCTATAATACATAAAATACACCGACATTAACATAAAAACCCGAACCGTAAAACAAATATCAGGATTGTTAAACAACATTTATCACTTCCACCTCAAAAATCAGCACTTCAATTCCGCCACCGCGATCTTCACGCTGCAAACTTATATAGAAAATGCACAATGTCGAGCAAGGAAAAGTAACCTACCGATGCCTCCCTTTGCCTACCAGTCAGTCAGAACTGAAGAAAGTTCTTGGATGACAAAGGTTTTTTTTTTTTTTTTTTAAGGAAGAAAGAAATGAACCTTTTGGAAAAGCACCTTTTGGGGACAACCATGACCTGAAGGCTTGAGAGAATCTGCACAGACATTAACTTACCGATACACGCAAAACCGCATTTGGATTGGTTCGATTTAGGATGAAAAGGTCAATTTCTGAAAGGAAACTCGGAATCTGGAGGTCGTTGGAGATTGTGCATATGTCTACAAGTAGTTTGAGGAAAAGGAAGCTTGCGAAGCGCCTGCGCGGGATGTACCGCGCGAGACCTATCAGTGGATGGGGAGTTTGCTGAAGCAACGGTTTCGGCCCATTGGAGGAGCGGTGGGAATTCTGACTTCGGGCTTGGGTCTGTTTCGGCCCCTTCAAGCCTTGTGGCAGCAGCGTCTGGGGCTTGTGATGGGCCGCAGGCAACGCCGAAGACAGCAGCAGAGCCGCGAGGGAGGCTCCCAGGTGAGTTGGGGCCCTTCGGCCCTTCCTGGCGGGTAAAAGTGCAGTTTTTTCGCAGAGTTCTGATGCAGGGGTCTCCAACCTTGGCCGCTTTAAGCCTGGTGGACTTCAACTCCCAGAATTCCCCAGCCAGCTGGC